TATTTCAGTTTTCGTAATGGCATGCTTGCCTGGATTCTGGATAATGGATGATGTTCTCGTGCTTTCTCAGTCACCAATGGAGTGAAAAAAGGCTGTGTGCTTGCTCCCATGCTTTTTAGCATGGTGTTTTCAGCAATGTTGTCTGAAACCTTCCTTGAGGACAAACATGGCATCAAGGTCAGCTGCTGCACTGGTGGTAAATTATTTAACTTGAAAAGCTACAAGCCAAGACCAAAATGGAGGGAGAGTTTGGTGTGTAATTTTTTGTTTGCCGATGACTGTGCATTCAATGCAGCCTCTGAAGCCTAGATGCAACAAAGTATAGATCAGTTCTCTGATGTTTGTGCTAATTTGGGCCTAACAATTAACACCAAGAAAACATAGGTGCTCCACCAGCCAATACTACACGGAACCATTGGTTATAGCAAACAGAGAAGTTTTAAATACTGTGGATAAGTTAACTTACCTTGGCAGTATACTTTCCAGGGATTCACACATTGAGAATGAGGTTAACACAGGCATTGCCAGAGCTAGCTCAGTGTTTGGGAGGCTCTGAAGAAAAGTGCGGGAGAGAAGAGGTATTAGACTGATTGCCAAACTGAAGGTCTGCAGAGCCCTTGGGCTGATCTCATTGTTGTATGCTTGTGAAAAATGGACAGTATACTAACACCATGCCAGGAAACTGAATCGCTTTCATTTGAATTGTCTTAGGAAGATTCTGAAGATCACTTGACAGGTACCAGACACTGAGGTCCTTTCTCAAACTGAACTGCCAAGCATTCAAACTTTACTAAGTAGAGTGCAACTCCTATGGGATGGCCATGTTGTTCAAATGCCAAATGTACACTTGCCTAAAAGACTATTTTACGGACAACTCACACAAAGCAAGCACTCACATGATGGTCAGAAGAAGTGATACGACATTCTCAAGGTCTCTCTGAAGAACTTTGGAGTTGATTGCGTGCCACGGGAGATGTTGACAGAGGACCACCCACCATGACGTGCCCTCATCAAAGAAGGTGCGATGCTTTATGAGCAAAGCAGAATTGAAGTAGCTCAGAAGATGTGTAAGATGTAAAAATTTAGAGAATCCATCCCAATGTTCACATGGACTATTTGTGCCCGACCTGTGATAGAGTCTTCTGAGCTCGTATTGGTCTGATCAGCCACAGTCAGACACTTTGCAACTTGACTCCAACATAGTGATGTCACTTTGTTCCTCTTCAAGAGTGAAGGACAAACAACCAACCATTTACTCTAGAGTGTTTTAACTTTATTTTAAAATAAAGTATCTAATAAAACATTGCTGGCATGGAGTATCACTGCTACAGCATCCTCCAGTACCATCTTATGAGATTGTCTCATAGGTGAAACTAGCTAATGAGGTCATTTTCTAACTTCAGAGAGTAAATCCTTTATCTAGAATATGATACCTTTTACTGAATTTTCTTCTATAATTATATTTATCACTTAATCAATAAGCATTTATTAAGTACCTACTATATGCCAGGAACTGTGCTAAGAGCTGAAGGATACAGAGAAAGGCAAAAAACAGTATCTGTTCTCAAGGAGTTCACAATCTAAGGGAGAACCAACACAAAAACAGCTATGTACCAACATGATATCTGTGCAGAATAAGTTGGAGATAATCAATAGAAAGATGTCATAGAAAGGTTATATTAAACTTCAGACTCCAACTTTTATTGCTCAGTAGTAAAGTGAATAGTGCACTGGACTTGCAAAATAGGGAGATCTAAATTCAAATGTGACCTCAGACACTTATTACTTTTGTGACCCTGGGCAAGTCACTTAACCTTTATTTGTCTCAGTTTTCTCATTTGTAAAGTATGGATAATAATGATACCTACTTCCTATGGTTGTTATAAAGATCAAATGAGATAATATTTCTAAAACTCTTTGTAAATCGTAAAATACCATATAAATCCTCATTATAATATAAATATAAATCATAATAATATTATTGTAGAAGTTCTTTAAAGGATATCATTAAAAATAAACATTGTAGTACAATCCAGTTTGCCTCTTTTTTTTTTTTTTTAGGAAATTGGGGTCAAGTGACTTGCCTAGGGTCACACATCTAGTAAGTGTAAAGTGTTTCGGTCTGAGGCCAGATTTGAACTCAGATCCTCCTGACTTCAGGGCTGGTGATCTATCCACTGCGCTACCTAGCTGCCCCCAGTTTGCTTCTTATTTTAAAATTTGTTTTTATTTTTATGTACAATCAAGCATGGTCAGCTAGGTAGTGCTGCTGTTAGAATGCTGGGCCTGAAGTCAGAAAGACTCGTCTTCTTGAGTTCAAATCTGGTTTGACATTTACTAACCATGTGACCCTTGGCAAGTCACTTAACCCTGTTTGTGTCGGTTTCCTCTTCTGTAAAATGAGCTGGAGAAGGAAATGGTTAACCACCCTAGTATCTTTTCCTAGAAAACTCCAAAAGAGGGGCGGCTAGGTGGCACAGTAGATAGAGCACTGGGCCGGGAGTCAGGAGGACCAGAATTCAAATCTGGCCTCAGACCAGACACTTGACACTTACTAGCTGTGTGACCCTGGGCAAGTCACTTAACCCCAATTGCCTCGCAAAAAAAGGGGGTATGCACATTTGGGGGCAGGTAGGTGTCACAGTAGATAGAGCACTGGCACTAGAGTCAGGAGGACCTGAGTTCAAATCTGGCCTCAGACACTTGACATTTACTATGTGGCCCTGGGCAAGTCACTTACCCCTATTGCCTAGCCAAAAAGAAAAGAAAAAAAAGTTAAAAAAAAAAAGAAAACCCCAAATGAGTTCACAAAGAGTTGGACGCAACTGAAACAACTGAAGAACAACAAAATAATCAGGCATACTTAGAACACTTATGGACTGTATGATTTTAACCAATATCAGCCATGTTCTTTCATACCTTCCAAATATATAATAAACCTAACAAATTAAACTATGCCTATTTTCCCAAGTTGGAGTTTTTTCCTCTTCACTCATATTTAGAGCTCTTTCTCTAATTCTCAAAGCTACAGAATCATAGAATCTTGGTTGGGAGAATCCTTGGAGCTCATCCACTCTGTTTTGTACCTGGCCAAAAATCCACTCTGAAGCTTTCCTAATAAATGGCCATACAGCCATTGCCTGAAGAATTCTAGTCAGAAGTGAGACAGACTGTGTCCCACTATTCTGCTTGAATAGCCTGAATTTTTTTCAGAATTTTCCCCAGCATCAAGTCTAACTGTGTCTCCACAACTTCTACCCATTGTTTCTAGTTCTGCCTTTTGGAGTCAAAGCAGAAAATGGCTAAATTTATTTTTTCCACGACATTTCAAGACAGCTATCATGCATTAGGTAAGTTCCAGAAGGGGACAGTATTTCACTTTTGTCAGGCAGAAGTACTTATGGCAGAAACCCACTTCCTGTGGATTCATAAAACAGAAAAAAAAAAAGAAGAAAAATGGAAGAATGACAGAAAAAAAGAAACCATGGAAAAATTAGAAAGGGAAATATAATACAAAAAGCTCTAAGTTTATAATTTCTTGAAGAATTTTTGGTTTGAAAGATATTTTCTTTCTTACTTATTCGTTTCTCGTTTCTAGGTCTGGACTATTCCAGAGGATATTCGAGGATTTAGTTCGTGACATGTAGGGCAGACTATTTTTCCAGGAGTAGGGAAAAAAGAAGGGTGGTAGTATGAATGTGTCAAACTCTAACTCTATTACCTTTATAGTCCTATTCCTTAGTGACATCACTGAAAGGACATCCAATGATTGCCAATCCATAGTTACCTTAATAATACAGTTCTGTATCCTGAATCCTCTTAGAAGCTTCTCTATTTAGTAGCATTATCTTTTATTTTTCCAATCTTTTACAAATTTTACAGCATTCAGAGTTTGTAGTGACCATACTAAATATTTTTCTTTCAACTGAACCTTTTCACATCAGGACATAGAAAATTAATACTTCTACGATAAATTATAGTGTGTTGAACACTTTTCAAAGAGCCTATTATATAGACCTTATGAAACAACTTGAAACTCTTATTAGATGGTAGGTTTTATCTTTTTCCATGAACTTTCCACTTCTTTTTACCAATTATTTTTATATTTCACATACTGTATGCGTTACTGGAAGTTGGATAGACATTAAAGTCCCAAAACTTACTGAAGTCTATAACTTTTGAAATAATAACCACAGGATAGTACCAGTTTGGAAACATAGTTCTGGAGTAATAGGGAAAGTGGTCTCAATAACTCATCTGGTTCATTTTCATGCCTTAACAAGGAATGCACGTATACCATTCCAAACAGCCTACTTTTAATACTTCCAGAGTTAAAGATTTTAGATTTCACCTGGGTAATAATGATGATGGTGATGATGATGATGGTAATGATAATGATGATAACTGCCATTTATATCATGCTTTAAAGTTTATGTAAAGTTTACAATGTGTTATTCAATTTGATCCTGACAAAAATTCTGTGAAATAGGTGCTACTATAATCCCTATTTTACAGATGAAGAGACAGAAGCTGAAAGAGGTGACTTGCCCAGTCACACAACTAGGAAGTATCTAAGGCAGGATTGAACTCATATTTTCTTGACTCCAAGTCCAATATTCTATCCACTGTGCTGCCTCTTGGACAGAATATAATATGTCTGTTACCTTATACTGAATTTCCTTTTAAAATCATGTCATAATAAAGTTTCATTGTACTTCAAATTTTCTAACTTTTATTGCTAGGTGTTGTGGTGATTCTCAATTTTAGGAAAACTATATTTAACCCAAATCAATAAAATCATATTTTTTTAAAGTATACCAAGTAAATATTTTTATTTTAAAAGATATTGACAAAGGTATTTTTAAATTTTGTCAAAAAATCATTAGAACTCAAAGGAGAAAATTTCACATATAATTGTTAAATGTATTAATCAACATAATGTTTGCATTCTGAAAAAGAATAATTTCTAAACAATTAATATATTCTTTTCCCCCTGAAAGTTGGCCAGGAATACTTTGTCTTGATCCTTTAATGGGGAAATATGTGACCTGTGACCTGGATGGAAATGTTGAACATTATCATGTAGAATTCCTTGGTAATCCCCATTCAAGAAAATGGATAAAAGCAAACAGTGTTGGTCATTATAGTATCACATTAAAGGTAGGTAGAATAACATTAAGTTTGTTACCTATTTTTGTTGTTGATTCTACTGTATTTTTTGTAGCACATTTTTTAAGAATTGGCTCTTTTCCCAAGGCTCATAAACATAACTATTTTAGAATTACTTTAGAAATTGTAAATATAAAATACTATATGATGTTACATTTGTTTCTAAGGTAATATGGATGTAGTAGCTTTGAGTATTATTTTTTTCTGATTAGTGATAGAATTATTAGCATTATTCAACTATAGACTTTTCATAGGACTATGATTACCTTTTGAAACTGTTTTTGGATTTTCATTTGGACATTTTTATAATTTCTGAAGTGAAATTTAAGTTGTAACACTAGTTAAATGAAGCAGTTAATTATGTAATCCAACAAATTTTTCAAATTTGAAATAGAATATTTCGTTATATTAAGTCCTCAAGTAACTTTCTGTTAGAGGGTTTCAGAACAGTTTTTTGTATTAGACTATAATTAAGCCAGTGCTGATAGATTAAGTTCTCAAATAATACAGCTTTTTTGTTTAAGGGTTAGAGTCAATTCAATTATATAAGTTAATTTCATTTTTACTGAAACTTTCCCCAAAGTTTTAGGCTAAGCCTGAGTCATCTCCTGGTAGTTTAGGCCCAATATTATAATGAAATAAGACATAAGTTCTTTAGAAGTTTGTAATAAAAGAACATTTGCTTAGCCATGGCAGGGGAAGGATATTCCACAAGGATATGCATTAAGGACACCATGAGTTGATTCATCTGATAGAAGCTCATCTGCCTCTGAGCTAGAACACCTAGTGGCTCTTTTGTGCTCAGGTGACTAGGAAGTGGTCACTAGTCTGTAACTTTAGTCTCTTGAGCCAATCAGATCTTTCCAGTGTCTTTTCAGGAAAAACTAGCCTGGGAGGAAGAGACTAGGATATTGCTGCCACCACAAACGAACATATCTTGCTCCCAGAGAATGCTTAAATAAGGCTGATGTCAGGGAACGGCATGACACCCATACTAGAGGCTTTCCATTTTATAGTAAGAATACATACCCCATATTATTATCCATTCAAGGTCTATGATTTGATCCCTTAACATAAATGAATCAGAACAGTAATTTAATTTTTATTGTTTTAAAAACCTATTATTGCCATAAATAAAATCTTTGTTTACTTTAGTCAGTTAATCAGTATGTGGGATAGAAAACCTTTAAATGTAAGAGATTTAATTATTTAATTACTTTTCTTCTCCAGAGAACTTAGGAACCAGTTATCTTACTGAGATAGGATAGCATGGCTTTGGTAATTTGAGAATTTATGTTCTTTCTTCTTTGTAAAAGAATAACAGGCAGAAAAGTCGTGTGTGTGTGTGTGTGTGTGTGTGTGTGTGTGTGTGTGTGTGTGCTGGAGCCAGGGCTTGATTTATTATTTTGTTGATTATCTAGACTTAAGAAGGTGATGGAGAAAATATTCATAGTGGAGATTAAGTTTTACACAGTGCCTGACACATATTAAATGTTTAATAAATGTTTGTTGATTGCTGATATGTATGTGATTTTGTCCTTACTTTTCTATTTTTTTGAAAATTCACCATACTTTAAAGAATAAAGCCAGGCTGTGATGATTCTATAATTTTAAACTCTAACTCAGGAAAAGCAAGAAGTTTTCTTATCTTCTGTGCTCTACCCTTTTTCTACTCTCTTTTCCTTTCAAAGTATGCTGGTAAATGTTTAACAACCAACTCTGTGGCACGTGCACAAACACACACACACTCGCATACACACACACACACACACACACACAGCCTTTCTGTTACCCAGACACTGAGGTGGTGCAAGGTGGAGGAGAAGAGGGGCTTAGAGGTTGGTAGGGATGGGTTAAGTCCCATGTATTGGAGGAGTAAGTTTGTATTTTTTATGATTACATCTTTTGAAATGAATATTCCCGTGTAAAAGCTAATCCCACTATCAGCAGCTAAATGAAACTGGGGTGCAAAGGACCCACCCTCTCCAACTGAGGGAGTAACGTCAGTAGGAGAGAGAATCATTTGCAGAGAGTCTAGCTTCTTCCCAAACCCACTTAAGAGTCCTGAAGAACTTTGGGGAGGAGTGAAAAGTAACCAAGTGGCCTTCACGTGGTAGAGGCCAGGCTCCTCTGTGTTACACACGCTGCGTAGGAACAACGAACCAAAGTTGCAGGGATTCAAACTGAGGTTCAGCGTAAAAAGAAACTTCCTCATAATGAGAGTGTCCAAAAGTGGAATTGACAGCCTCAAGAGGCAGGGCTCCCGCCTTTCCCTCCCCACCCCACAAGGTCTTCAGTAGGGCGGATGGCCACTCAGTGTGGCTATCCTCAAAGAGAGTCTTAT